AATAAAGGAAGGAAGGAATGAAGGGGAGGGATATTCAAAGAGTTGAGGATATTTATATACTGGAGCTCCAGTAACACCAACAAGTCTCTTCTGTATTCTTCTTTTTTATTTCTGCCTTCTTCCCTCTCTCCCTCCTTCCTTATGTTTACAGTATATATATATATATATATATATATATATATATATATATTTATTTATATTTATATTTATACAGTAATATATATCTTTACTTATTAACCCTGTTGTGTATTGTGTTTATATTTTTATATCTTTCCCCATGTGTGTGTGTGTATGTTATTACACTTTAATTACATAAAAGGGAGGGAATAGAAAGAGGGATATGAAAGGAGTGAATTTCAACTCAAGGAAAGTTTACCCCAGAGAAAACGTAAATCAAAAAAAAAAAAATGAACATTACAAAGAAAGAAAAAAAAAATAACAAAAATGCTATGAGAAATAAAAGAACGAAAAAAAACGGAAAAGAAGTCATTTTTTTTTGTTTGGCATCTATGTGTGCATATCTATCTCTCTGTTTGCGTTTATTTTTGTTTTCTTACTTACTCTATTCTTTGCGGTCTTCCCTATTCACATAATACTCCTTCTTTCCAACGGTGCCCATATTCACAAGTTAGCGATACAAAATAAAGAAATATATATATATATATATATATATATATATAACTGAAGATAGGCGAAAAGAGAGGAAAGAAAAGAGAATTGAACAAGATGAAAAAAAAAAGAATGCATTTCTTCCTTTTTTTTTTTTCTTCATTACTTTTAGAGGAAATAAAAATATTTCGCCAATTCCAGAGCATTACATATGATCTTTTTTTAATCCCTTCTATTTATGCGTCTATTCATTTTATGTGCTTTTTTTGTTTTCTTTTGTTTTGTTTTTCACGGTTTATATTAATCTCTTTATTTATTTTTTTTTTTTTATTACTACTACTATAAGAATTTTTTATTTTAAAATGTAATTTCCTTTCTTTTTTTTTTCTGGCTTTTCTTCATTCTTTTGTTTTCTTTCTCTCTCTTTCCCTCTCTCCTCTTATCAGAGCAATTACGGTGCTCACGTGTTGGGTAGTGTGTGTGTGTGTGTGTGTGTGTGTAAACTTCTCCCCTCTTCTCACCAACTCCAACCAATGCCGGAAAAACAACAACAGACATCATCCGAATCATCATCATCACAACAACAACAACAAAAACAACCGCACATTATGCGTTCTCATATATTCGTGCGGGGCAGCGTGCAGGGCGTCTTTTACCGCAAACACACCGTTCAGGCAGCGAGGGCCCGCGGGGTTCGTGGATATGTGCGCAACCTGCCGGACGGCCGCGTGGAGATCGTCGCCGAGGGCCGCAGGGAGGCGGTGGAGAGTCTTGTGGAGTGGTGCCGCGTGGGGTCGCCCAAGTCCTCCGTGGAGGGCGTGGAGGCTGCGGTGATAACGGATAGTGCGACAGAGTACACCTTCACTGGGTTTGATGTGCGGCACTAATATTAATATATATATATATATAAATGAGGATTGTGTGATATTCTTTTTTTTTGCTGTTATTATTATTATTGTTATTATTAGTGTTAGTGTTGGAAACTGAGAGGGAGAGAGAGACAGGGGTATGAGTGGTGGTGGTGTGGCAGTAGCTCAGTTTTTTTTTTTTTTTTTCTGCGAAGAAAGAAAGAAAGTAATATCTTTTTTTTTATATTATTTCGTGAATATTTGTGACTTGTCTCTCTGCTGATTATTTTTTTTCCTCCTTATAATAATGGTTTGTATTGTTTTTTTTTTCTTTTTTTTTTCTTTCTTGTTTTTGTTTTGTTTTTTCTCTTTGTTTATATATATATATGCTTCTCCTTATGGTAATAGTACTCGTCGTCTACTTGAGTGACGGCAGAGAGACGGGCACTGCCTCAGTGGAAAACAGAAATAACAACAAATAACAAAAGAAAAAAAGGTAAGAAACGAACAAAAACAGAAGGAGAGAGGAAGAGAGAGGCTGCAATATTCACAACAGCATACATATATATACTTATTTATATTTTAATTAGATTCCACTTAGAACTCTCTTTTCTCTCTCACTCTCCCCTGTGTTTGTGTCTGTGTTTGAGATAGATGAGTAATATTAAGGTGGCTGTGCGGTGCCGCCCACTCTTCGAGAATGAACGGCCGGCCGCTGGTTTGGAGTTCCACCAAAGCCGCCGTATTCTTCTCGACAACAAAACATATGATCCCGATTTCATTTTCCCACCAACCGCCACTCAAGATGATGTCTTCACGGTCTGTCAGCCCATCCTGCAGAGTGTAAAGGACGGGCTGAATGGAACAGTGATGGTATATGGACAGACCGGCACTGGGAAGACTCACACCATGTTGGGAGCCGCAGGGGAAACAAGTGGAATTGCACATCGCATGATTGCTCATATGCTTGAGCATGTGCAGCAAAAGACATTAGAAGGATCACAGTGTGCGTTAACACTCTCTATGATTGAGATTTATAACGAACGACTAACAGATATGTTAAGTGAAAATGGTGATACAGAAGTTACACTTGTTGGTGGGTTTCCAAAATCTATGGAGAAGTTAACCTTATCGCGTCTCAGTGATGCGAATGAAGCTATTCAACGTGGACTCAGCTGGAGACATACTGCAGTAACGTTAATGAATGAACGAAGTAGTCGTTCTCATGTTGTTTTTATTCTTGATCTTGAAGAACAAAATGATTATACAGAGACTGTGGATGTGGCACATCTCTTTATGGTAGATTTAGCAGGTAGTGAAAGTCTTAAAAAGTCACAGGTAAGTGGAATGGCGGCGAATGAAGCTGGAAAGATTAATAAATCTCTTTTAGCTCTTAAGAGTGTCTTTTTAGCACTTGCCAATTCCAGTGAGTCTACACGTCCAAATCATGTGCCTTACCGAGATTCCAAACTAACAGAATTATTGCGGGATTCGGTTGGTGGAACGGCACGAACACTTATGATTGCCTGCATCTCTGCTGTTGGACGTGATATTGAGGAAACCAAATCCACACTCATGTATGCAGTGAAAGCACGGTCTATTAGGAATGTTGCGAATACAGAACGGGAAAAATTAATGGTCCGTCTTCGTTCCTTTGAAGTGGAAAATCAACGATTACGTAATCGTTTGCAGGAGCGAGTGGTGGAGCGTGGTGGGTATTACATAAGCCGTGAAGAACACGAGAGATTTCAGCAGTTGGAGGAGGAACATCAAACCATCAAGACAGACTTGGAGGATTTATTACGTGAACGACAACAAACAGAAGCCCAACATCACATCTCTGCCTCTCAGCGTAGTATTCTACAAGCCATGGTAGAGGAAAAGGAAGAGGAATTGCGGGGATTTAAACAAACTTATCATGAAGCCTTGTTGAGATTCGACTCACAAGTGATTGTGCTGCAGCGAGTGGTGCAGGAGGCGGTGCGGAGTGCGCAGGAGGCCGTCCAACGCGGTGTAGAGACAACCGCACATCAATTAGACGAATGGCGTACACACACACTGCGGGAAAAGATAAAAAAAGAAAACACCCAAGAAAAGGAAAAGGGAGTAGAAGAAGAAAAAGAAGAAGAGGTAGTAGAATTAGAAGAAAAGGAAAAAGAAGAAGAAGAAGAAGAAGGGGCATTAGTGTTTACATGTGAATATGAGGCGGAAGTGGCACGTCTCGTCTCTCGCATTAACAACGGCTTTGTAAACATTATGCAGCAAATGCAGACAATGGCCCAACAACACTGCGCCACTGTTCACACACTGCAGGAACGTCGTCGATCTTCACTAGACACCATGCAGCGTCGTCTGCAAGAACAAGTGCAGGAACTGTTAACGGCCTACACAAATGAACAGATATCAATGGACAGAGAACTCGAAGAGGAACAGAAACTCTTCACAAGTCAAATAACCGCAGCCACTATGCAACCACCACCGGCAAATGCACTTCCCTTTAAACACGTTGTGCGAAATGTCTGCAGAGCGGCTGTGGAGAGTAGTGATCATTCCCTTCCACCACTGGAAGTGGCCAGTGAAGTGATGGAGTCTTTACATCAAATTAATGAGGCTTTTCGTGTAAAAGCCACCAGTTCTTCACTGGGCGCATTATTAATGATGGGAAATATGCCGCCGCCCAGAGACTCCAACTCATCGCTGGCAACAAACACAACTACAAACTCCACCGCAACGGCTACCAATCATTCTACGGTAACTCCTGCGGCGAATAGTGCGACGGCCACTCCCGCCGGATCCCCACCACTTCCACTCTCGAGTAGAGATAAGAATTATTCAACAACAACAACAACAACAACGGGTGCTGGTGGGAGTAAAGTAAAGCGTATTCGCAGCGGAAGTGCCTTGTCGGACTCGCGACGTGCCTCTGCCCGTTGTGAAAAGTAATGGAATCCATTACAATAAGGTGGATTTAAAAAAGAAAAGGAAAAAAAAAACCGCAAAGGAAAAGAATATATATATATAGATATATATTTGCTTATGTGGATGTGTTTGTTTTGTTTAGGTTATAGACTTTAGATGCAGTATGTTATTATTATTATTATTATTATTATTATTATTATTATTATTTTCATTATTATTTATTGTTTCTTTTTTTTTTTTGTTTGTTTGTTTGTTCTTTTTTTTGTGGAGAAAGAACAACGGAGTTATTCAGAGAAGAGAAAAGAGAAAAAAAAAAGATGGTTGGGGCTTAAGGCTACAGTCAATGAAGGTGGACAGACAGAGAGAAAAGTAATCTTCTGGGTTTTTCCCCACATAAGATATCTTGTTCTACTTCACAGAGTTTCTGTACATTTACATATATATATATATAAGCGTATCTTTGTGTGTGAGTGTTTCAGTTATTATTGGTTGCATTTCCCTGCAGAGTTTCTTATTTTTGTGAAAGAAAAAAAAAAGAAATAAAATGAATAAAAAATATTTGGTTGACGTCACTTTTTTCTTTTTTTATTTCCCCAAATTCATGCAACTGCGTTATCTCTACACTCTCCACTCACTTCCTACACTCATACATAGAGAAAGAGAGAGAGAGATAGGGCGGTTGCCTTCAGATGAATCCTTAAGGTAGAAAAGGAACACTAAAAAAAATAAATAAATAAATAAGAAAAAAACTCTACACTTTATCTTCATATTTCCATTCCCTCTTTTCTTATTCTTCCCTATATGTTGTTTTCTCTTTTTTCTATTTATTCTCTCTTTATATATATTTATATATTTAGGCTGTGGAAGAGGGACTCTCAGAGAAAAGAGGTAGATACAGTATATATATATATACGTACATAAAGTCAAAACAAAGAAAAAAAAAAGAAAATGGATTCCCTTTCTTTCCACATTGTACGGCCAATGAACAGACTCACTCAAAAGGCACTCCTCAAACATTTCAATCGTCATTCCGAAAAACTAACATCATTTAACGCGAAACTTATTCAACGATATGCACTTCTAGACTATGTGGATCACCGGGCGATGCTCACACTACTCACAGAGAAGGCCCAGCAGCCCCTCACACCCGCCTCCTTTGCAGGCCTTCGTCAAACACTACAAGCCGTCCAGCGATTCCCACGTGATTTTGATGAAGAGAAGCGGCGATTTGAATCTATCTTTCTACAGTCTGTGCTGAATACACCACCAGACACATTATCGTCTGTGGAGTATAGTGCCCTCTGGTCACTCACAACACTACTCACAGCGTGGGAGGATGTCCTGCGATTGTCAAGTACATTTCCATTACAAAAAACATTACCACTTCAAAGTGAAAAGGAATTTCGTGTTGTACTTGATCAAATGTTAGTGAAAGCCATTCCCATTTCTTCTTCCTCTTCTTCTTATTCGACGATGACGACTACTACTACTACTACTCGTATAATTGATGAGCCACCACGGGGTATTCAACTCTTAAAGGAATTAGTTGGAGAAGATGTGGCACTTCAACGGGCATTGGATGGGATTATGCAGCGTAATGCCCAATGGACAGACCGAGAAGCGGCTGTGTCTACTTTTATTGGTGTTGTCCATGCATTGGAGCGATGGCCACAACAACAAATACCAGGAGTTGAGGTCTGGAGAAAACTAGCATTGCGTCCAACAACATTTCATGATGTGGATTTTCACCAGCTTCTACGCATTTTAGTGAGAGTACACAGTCCAGCTGTGCCAGAGTATGTTCGGATGTCACTTGATGAAGCCATCTGTTCAGATCTGTGGCGTTGTTATTCAGAGTTGCCAAATGAACCTGTTGCTGTCTTTTTTGAGCAAGAGGAGTTATTACAGAAATTCACTGTTACCATGAGAAAAAGACAACCTGGTAATGGTGAAAGTAACGTTACTAATAATTCTCAGGATAAGGTTAAAGATAAAGATAATATCAACAGCAGTAGTAGTAGTGGTGAGAATAATAGTGATGACAGTCATAAGAGGAACGGAACTCCAGAGAAGGAGTTAACTGTACAGTTAAGAGAGACGATGCGAGAATTGCATGAACGAACATTAGAAAAACAACTCCGTAGTGATGGACCACCGCTCACTCTTCCTGTTATTATTAATCTCTTTATTGGTAGTGTATTTCTGCGAGCACAAGGGGAACTTACAGGAGCTATTATTTCAGCCTTAAAGAATACTTTAATCTCATCATCATCATCATCAGTAGCGAAATCTAACCTTACAACACTACAGGCGGTCATTATTGCCACTTGTTTAGATCGAATGCAACAACAACAAGAATCATCATCATCATCATCATCATCATCATCTGAAGAATCTACGAGTTATTATCAATCTTCTCTCTCTGCACAGGCACGCAAAGATGCGGATGTGATTGGAACGTTACTCTTATCCTTATTGACGTATCCATATCTACAGCAGCATGGCTCAGCACGGTGTGTGTCCAGACTCCTCTGTGAGTGTCCGCAATGGACAAGAAGGAACGGATTAGAAGAGACGTGCTTTCATTTACTGCGGGAACACGCACAGGATGGATTTACGAAAGCACAACTGCAGACAATTCTGGATAATCATACTCGTGGTTATATTTCACTTCCAGTGGACGTGAAGGAGATTATCGTACAACGTGCCGCAGAGGTTCCTAGCAGGTGATTGTTGTTTTTTCTTTTTTTCTTCTTTTTTGTTGCCGTGAAAGGATAAACCATAAAGAAGAAAAAAAGAAAACAATAAATAAAAGTTGAAAGGAATAGGATCCGATAATACGAAAAAATTAAAAAAAAAGGACGTTTAGTCAATCACAGATATTTGCATCACAGGGAGTGGGTGAGTGGAATGGAGGAAATCACTACTGCTGCTTCTTCACATGAATTCTGTTTTGCAAAAAAAAAAAGAAAAAAAAGGAGAATCACATGAATGTGCGTTGAAGTTACTGCTGATATCACCAATTTAGTGAAAAGAAGAAAAAACTCTCTTTCTCTCTCTCTTTCTTCTTTTTTCTTTTTTTCTTAATTTCTCTCTTTGTGTGTATATAGGAAAAAAAGATAGAACCCGTTGGGGTTGAAAAATGGATGAAAAACCGCGTTTGGTGGAGCCCTCGCCCGCATCTCGCCGTGCAGCAAATGTGATGATTGTATTTGGTTTCCCCTGGTACACAAGTGAGTCGCAGATTAGAGAATATCTGCTGCAGATATACCCAGCAGCAGCTCCAGTCACCACACGTCTCTATACAAATCCAACGAATGGAACTAGTCGAGGTATTTGTTTTATTGAGTATAATCAAAAGCAACGTGTGGGAAACAGTAGTAATACAAATGATAATAATAATACTAATAGTAATAATTACAATAGTACAATTGGTAATACGGGTAGCAATACAAACATCACGACGAGTGGAGGTTTACTACGTGTTGTGAAGTCCGAGATCCCAGAAGAGGATGAGGATGACATTCTCACAGTGGTAAGAAAGAATATTGATGGAACCCACTTCACCCGTCATTATCTTACCGCCGTTCTTTATCACTTAACCAATCAAAGTTGGGATCGTGGTGGACGTTTGCCAGAGTTACCAACCGATCCACCTCCCACCCGCGGTGGTGTTGGGGGTGTCGTTGAGGGATACGGCGATGAGGGCTTCATTGTGCGCTGCGGGCCGGTGTTGGGACTTGCAAACACCGTAACGGCCGCTGGGGTGGCGAACATGCAGGCACTGCGTAAAAGACTGCGGGAAGAGGCGGTCGCCGCTGAGGAAGAAGAAGAAGAAGTGGGAACAGTAAAAGAAGATGGAGATGGTGGTGTTGGTGTTGGTGGTGGAATGAGGACACGAGTATGATATTAGTGGGGGAATACAGTGTTTCTCTCTTTTTTTTTTTTTTTCTTCTTCTTTGTTATTCTTATTATTATTTGTTGTTGTTGGGATTGTTGTTCATACAATACCCAAAGAAGAAGGAAAAGAAGGAAGAGAAGGAGGAGGAAAGTGTACATTTCCTGTCTGTGTTGGCAATCTTTTTATGACTCTAACTCTCCCCGTATTCAATTCTGTAGACCCATTGCTTGTGTATAGTATTATGGGTTCTTTTTGTGTTTTTTTGAGGATTATTGTTTTTAAATGATTTATATATTACTAGGTGATGTTTTTAGATCTTTCTGTTCTGGAGGTTTACTGCTGTCAATAACCTTTTTCTTTCTTTCTTTCTTTCTGTTTTCTATTATTCATTTTATTATTTTATTATTTTATTATTAAAGAAAAACAAGGCATATCGATTCCCTGCAAGAGAGAGATTATATTTATCAGAACAGAAAAAAAAAGAGAAAAGAAAAAAGAATAGCAAAAAAGAACAAAAACAATAATTATCAAACAAGCAAACAAACAAGCAAACAAACAAACAAAAAAAAGAGAAAAATAGAATTAAATCTCATTTTCAATTCATTCATCGAACAGAAAGGAAAAACAACAAAAACAACAAACAAACAAATATAAAAAAAAAGAAAGAAAATGAGTTCTATCAAGGAAATACTTGCCAAGTGCCTCACTGCTGGTCTATCAGCGCCTTTCCCACCACCATGTAAAGAACTCGATCCCAGTGTTCCTCATGCACCCAAGCGTACACCGCATCTCACACCGCTGGAACGCCGTCAAGCCATCGCCAACGCCCTTCGTTATTTTGAACCCGCCCATCACGCAGAACTGGCCGCAGAGTTCAGCAAAGAATTGGATGTTTATGGTCATATTTACATGTATCGCTTCCGTCCCACTCAGTATGAGATGAAGGCCTACCCCATCACAGACTACCCTGCGAAGAGCAGGTTTGCCGCAGCCATGATGTTAATGATCATGAATAACCTTGATAAACGTGTTGCCATGTTCCCACATGAACTTATTACTTATGGTGGTAATGGTGGTGTATTCAACAACTGGGGACAATATTGCCTTACAATGAAATACCTCAGTGAAATGACAGATGAACAGACACTTACACTTTATTCTGGACACCCAATGGGTTTATATCCAAGCCACCGAGATGCCCCACGTGCTGTTATAACAAATGGTATGATGGTTCCAAACTACTCTACTCGAGAGCAATATGATCGATTGTATGCTTTGGGTTGCACTCAGTATGGACAAATGACTGCAGGTTCATTCTGTTATATTGGTCCTCAAGGTATTGTACATGGAACTACTATTACATTCCGTAATGCAGGACGCAAGTATCTTGGTGTTGAAGATCTTGCTGGAAAAGTTGTTCTTACCAGTGGTCTCGGTGGAATGAGTGGAGCACAAGGAAAAGCTGGTGTTATTTGCCGTGCTGTGGTTGTGGTGGCTGAAGTTGACCCAGATGCCTTATATAAACGTAAGGAACAAGGTTGGTTGTTGGAAGTTGAAACAGATGTTGAATCTCTCCTTCATCGTGTACGTAAGGCTGCTGCTGCGAAAGAGGCAGTAAGTATTGGTTTCCTTGGTAATGTCGTCACCGTCTGGGAACGACTTGTTCAGGAGAAGGAGAACATTGTACACCTTGGCTCTGATCAAACCAGTTGCCATAACCCTTTTAATGGTGGTTACTACCCAGTTCAACTCACCTTTGAGGAAAGCAAGAAAATGATGGTGGAGAAGCCTGAAAAGTTTAAGGAACTTGTACAAGAATCCCTCCGTCGCCAAGTGGCTGCTATCAATGCTCTCGCCGCACGTGGTCTGCGTTTCTGGGATTATGGAAACAGTTTCCTCCTTGAGGCCTCCCGCGCTGGTGCGGAGGTGTGGAGTCCGGACGACACTGTGCGGAGTATCAACCGATTCCGTTATCCATCGTATGTGCAGGACATTATGGGAGATGTCTTTGCTCTTGGCTTCGGTCCATTCCGTTGGGTGTGTGCCTCCGGCCTGCCAGAGGACCTCGAGCTTACAGACCGCATGGCCGCAGAGACATTGGAGAAGTTAATGAAGGATGCCGCCCCCAAATCACAGAGACAGATATCCGATAATCTGCTTTGGATTAAACAAGCAGGAGAGAATAAGTTGGTGGTGGGTTCCCAGGCTCGTATTCTCTACGCCGACTGTGAGGGACGACAGGCAATTGCAAAGGCCTTTAACGATGCCATTCACGATGGCCGCCTGAAGGGTCCAGTGGTGCTCTCACGTGATCATCATGATGTGAGTGGTACAGATGCCCCATACCGTGAGACCTCAGATCTCTACGATGGCTCTGCTATTACTGCAGATATGGCCATTCAAAATGTGATTGGCGATTCCTTCCGTGGGGCTTCATGGGTTTCCATTCACAACGGTGGTGGAACTGGCTGGGGTGAGGCCATTAATGGTGGTTTCTGTCTGGTGCTTGACGGTACTCCCGATGCGGAGCGCCGCGCCACACTTATGTTGATGTGGGATGTTTTGAATGGAGTTTCACGCCGTGGATGGAGTGGGAATGAGTGTGGACGTGAGACTGTGGTGCGGGCGTTAACGCGTGTGAAGGGTCTACAAGTGACGGTGCCCAATCACGTTAACCCAGAATTACTGCAGAAGTACTAGTTTATATTTATATATAGCTGTGGGTGTGTGATTGGGTTTATTTATTTATTTTATTTTTTCGTTTCCATGAAGCGATTGGGAAGCTATACAGTGGGGTTCGGGGTTTTTAATGGGATAAGATGTCTGTGAGTGTGAGTGTGGGTTTGTGTTTATTTCACAGCTTGATAACTCTTCTCTCTCCACACTATTCCTACTAGTACCTCATTCTGTTTGTTCGTTTTTTTTTTTTTTTTCTCTTATTTCTTGTACCCACAGACTACCCGGGCTCTGGGAAGAGAAAGGGAAAAAAGAAAAAAAAAAAACGAAACATTTTTTTTTTCGCAACATTTTAAATCGTGAGATAACAAGTTTTAACTTGTTTTTCTCTCCTCTAAAATACGTCTCTTCCTTTTATTTATTTATTTATTTATTTACTCACCCTTTCTCTCTCTCTCTCTCTCTCTCACTGGATGACCTTTTTTATCCATACCCAAGTGAAGGGAGTTACATATTCATACGGCATGAGATGATACGGTTTATTTATTTTTTTTTTTTTCTTACATGAATACCGTCATCATTATGATTGACATCGGTATTATTTCCCTCTCTATTATTGTTATTATTTTTATTTTTATTTATTTATCTACTTTTACTTTGTTTACATCTATATTTACTGATTTTTTTTTTTTCTTATTCCTATGTATACCGAAATATATATTTACAAAAAGAAAGAAAGAGAGTGAAATAAAGAAAGAAAAAAAAAAAAAAAACGCAAACGTATGGAGTTCAAAACGAGATATTGACAAGGAAAAGAAAAAAAAAAAAACGGAAATAAAGGAAAATGACAACAAAAAAAGTGTAAAAAAAATAAAAAAAAAAGATAAAGAAAAAAAACATTAAGCGAAAGAAATTATCTCTCAATTTAAAAGAGACAAATAAAAAACGGAAGATTATATAGTAAAAGGGACATTCTAATTCTCTTTCTCTTTCTTTCCTTCCTTTTTTTCTGACCAATTAAGGAGAGAGAATTGTGGGTATTCTTTGGGTATGTCTTTTTTTACTTTTTTATTTTGTTTATTTTTATTTTATTTTTTTTTTTGTCTGCAGCGAGGAGGATAATGAAGAGGCGCAGTATTTACATATGCCGTAATGCTTGCTATTCCTTTCCTCCGCCTTATTATTTTTATTTTTTCCTCCTTTGTATTCCTTAAGAATACACTTTACCTTGGTGCGTTTGCTCTTTTATGCAGGGAAGCAAAGATTACTGAAAAAGGAAGATGAGGAAACAAATTGAATAAGTGCTTCTCTATTGTTTTTTTGTATTGACCCTTGAAGTTGAGTCGCTGAAGAAGGAAATGAAGAAAGAGTCTACATTGCATTTAGATGAGCACACTGTTCTTATTTTTTATATATTTTTTTATTGTTTATTATTACTATTATTGTTAAATTTATGTTTTAATTCTCTTTTTCTCAGCATTGGCTACCTTGTGTATTTATTATTTTTTTTTTTCTCTTCTTTTCCATCTACTCTGAAGGAATTTCACGTAGCACAACACACAGGGACATATAGAAACGGACCTATACGTGCATACACACATATATAAATATATATATTTATATATATTTATATATTCATATATATAGAGAGGGAGAGAGAGAGAGGTAGATAGATAGAGATAGAGAGAGAGGTTAAAGGACACGGACGTGTGGATTTCCATCTGTGTTATTTAATTTCCTCTTTTCTCTCATTTCCCATTCATTTCATTGTGAGTTTCTCTTTCTTTCTCTCTCTTTTTCTTAACTTCTCTTCCCTTAGCAATGCGGAAGCGTGAAGTGGAGATTGTGGCCCCGTCTACGGAGAAGTATGCAACCTATCCCGTTGCCCCACCCACAAAGGGACAACAACAACAAAAACAATCCAAACAACAACAAAAACAGAAAAAACAACAACAACCACCACTACCAGAAGAACCACAAAATCAACGACAACTCATATTGGCTCCTATTAAACCGCCTGTACGCCGCAGTGTAGATGCGGTGGGATCGCAACAACACACATCCCGACGACGGCCGCCGCTCATCACACAATCCCAACGGGATGCGTTGACCGTCTCGGCCTTTGGCTTCGGCACCACCCGCCACGGCCCGCCCGACAGAAGCGCCTCCTCCATCACCGGCGAGTTCACAACAGCGGCGACCACCACAACAGGAACCGCAACGGGCGGCGGGGTCGGAGTGGTGCTCGCCCAGCGGGAAAAAGATTCCCTGCGGTTTCATCTCTGTGTAGATGCGCTGGCCGATGGCTGTGTGGCCACTTATATTCATCTCTTTCAACTTGCCCACCGTCCGCCGGTGTGTGTAGATCCACTCGCCCAAACACACTTTACCATTCCAGATGATCGGCTGCGGTGGGTGCGGGAACAACTCTCCGCAGTGGAAGTACTGCGACGCCAAAGTGAATTCCGCGATGCCGTTAATTGTTGTTACACTCTCGCGGATTACTTTGAAAGTGAACGCGATCACGAAGAGGCGGCGTGGCATTATGAGACCGCATTGCGATATGCGATGGAGTCTCTTGAGCGACCACTGGAGCAGGAAGTGCGGGAGACCTACGCTGCCTTCTTTGAGCGACGTAAACAATACCGAAAGGCCCTTGCTCTTTATGAAGTGATGTATAAACTCGCTATTGCTATTGAAGATGAGAAGACGGCAAATGCTGCCAGTTTTCACATGATGCGTACATGCCGAGCTCTCGCAGAAGAGATGATGCAGACAAATCCAGAGGAGGCTAGACGCTTTTTAGAGAGAGCCCTTAGTATTTCCCGTCGTGTGGGTAGTGGTGAGAATGAGGCGGCCTGTTGTTATTCCCTCGGTATCTTGTGTGAACAGTTGGGAGATTTGCCAGGAGCACTGCGATATCAACAGGCCTTTTACGAAGTATCCCGGCGAGAGAAACTCACGGAGGATGAGAAAACAGCGGCTCTTGTTGTAGCGGGATTACAGGAGCGTATGCATATGGGGCCAGAGGCGATGGAATCTCTACAACGGGCCTTATCTCTAGCAAGAGAGGTTGGGGATTTGGAGGGTGTTTGTCGGGCCACCATGCAACTCGGTCAGGCGTATAAAAGCAGTGGAGAAGAGGAAAAGGCATTAGAGTATTTTAGACAAAACTTTGAAACCGCACGTCAACAGAATAATCAAGATTTAGAGGATCAGGCACGAGTAGCATTAGGATTTGCCCTAGGAGAATACTATTACACACATGCAGGGAATGGTCGTGGTTATGTACCTATTGTTTGTTATGATATTAAAGCACAATTAGAATGGATGAGTAATGGTGTACTGTAAACAAAATACGTTTTTTTTTTTTTATCTTTGAAAATAGAGCAATATATATATATTAAATCTAGTGTAAGTGATTACTGTTTTTCTTTGGTGATTTAATATTTCCTTTTGTTGCTTTTTTTTTTTCTGGTGGAGGGGGTGGAGAGAAAAAAAAAGTATACAGGTATAATCTGAACTCTGCGGTAATGATGTTGTGTATGTATGTATGTATGTGTTTGTGTATTGTGATGTCTTTGGTGAGCAATGTATGTGAATGTGGCTTTCGCAGTAGATTGATGATATTTCTCAGTCACGTTTTCCTTTTCTTTCTTTTCCTTGTATTTTTGCTTTCTGCTGCTGTTATTATTATTATTATTGCTAATGCTGCTGCGGTTGTACTTGTTCGTATTGTTGTTTTGTTTTGTTTGTTTGTTTGTGTTTTTTTTTTTTTTTCTCCTTCTCTCCTTCTCTCCTTTTTTTATTATTGCCGCTTCACATTTGAAAAATGCGGTATCTGATGTAATTCCTCTTGGAACCAAAGAGAACTGAAGAGAGAAGAAGAAAAAAAGGAGAATACGTTCAGCCCATGACGATCGGCGAATCCCCCTTTTTTTTTCTTCTTCTTTGATTTTCTGTTTGTGGTGTTAGTGAAAGGTTTTCTTTTCTGTGTGTAATTGAATAATTCTCTTGAATATGCTTTGATGCTTAAAGTACTCCGAATCATCTCTTTCCCTCTCTCTCTTAATATTATTACTATTACTATTACTATCACTATTGGTAATAATAACACAAGGAGGACAGAAGCTCCACACATAATATATACATAATATATATTTATATATATAAACATAACTAAAAAAAGAAACCACCATAGCTATATCCATAGTGTGTAATCTATGCGTAAAGACGTGGAAAGTCTCTCCGAGGCGCTGCGACTACAACACACACGCTGCGAAGTTTATCATTTGTGGGATGTGAAGTTCCACACAGCCCTCTCCGGTGTATTGAGTGCCAATGACCTCGCCGCCACTCTCAACAGTAGTATTATCACTGCCTTTCAACACGTCAGTTCATCCCTGCGAGAACTGCAGGCAAACGCACAGAAGGAAAACGGTGAAGTCTACACATTTTTAGATCAGTGGATTGAACGGCTGCAGCGATTAGAACAGGAACACTACCGCACATCTATACAATTACAACAACTGATTGTACAGCACTGTGCGGCTATTCCACAGAGGAACTGTAAAGATACGGAAGTGACTCCAACAACAACAACAACAACAACAAGCGAAAAGGAAAAAGAAGGAGAAAAGGAAGAATCTCAACAAGGTGATAATAGTGGTGAAAAGGAGAAGGAAAAGGAAAAGGAAAAAGTAGTAGAGAGTTGTCATGTTTATGCAAGTTTACATGACTCGGAGCATTGCCGGGCGAGACATTTAATACCCGTTTCTTCTCAGACAGCATTGACATTTGTATCTTGTCGAGATGCCATGTTCTTCTCTTCAGATGATGATGATGAAAATGATGACTGGAAACGGGATGTGAAGAGCGATAACAAACAACAAGGAGATTTAACTAATAATAATAATAATAATAATAATAATAATAATAATAATAATAATAATATTAACAGTGATGTTAATGATAATGATGATAATGTTTATGATGATGATGGGCGAGTGTCTTTTGTGCTTAGGAGTGGAGAGGAGGTGGTGTATGTACCGCGTGAGGTGCAGCAGCGATGTGCGGCATTTAATAAAGAAATAATGCCACTGTACCAAATGAAGAGAAAATTGAAACAAGAACTGCAGGAATGGACGGAAGAACTTCAAGAAGAATTGGCTGCAGCTACAGCTGTAGGATAAAGATCCATTTATTTTATTACATTTTATTTTATTTTACCTATTTGGTTCTTAAAGTGCGTATATTGAACTATATATATATATATATATTCAGGTATCTGACTCTTAAAGGTGAGAGTATTCATTTAGAAGAGCATATAGTTTAACTTGTGGATTATAATAACAACAATGAAAAAGAAAGAAAAAGAAGAATTTCTCCTTTTTCATCTCATTTTGTAGATTACATATTATTATTATTATTTTCAATAATAAATATATATATATAAACAAAAAGGAAACCACAATCAAGAAGAAAAAAAAAAGAAAGGGTTACTCTAAGAATACACCTGAAAAGACGATGATGGCTGATAAGATTTCACAGTTTCTTACGGCTAATATGACGGAGGCCACTCAAATCTCATTAAAGGAATGGGGCCCAAAAGTTATTAGTTTCGTCCAACGCATCATTCAATCACAAGAGAAACAATGTAATGGTGTGGCGTTAGTAACAAGCGGAGGAACTGTCGTTCCTCTCGAAGTGCATGCCGTTCGATATCTCACAAATTTCAGTTCTGGTGGTCGTGGGGCAAACTTTGTGGAATCTCTCGTGCAGCGTAAATGGGCTTGTGTCTTTCTACACCATAAAGACTCTGAACAACCATTTCGTTGTCATATTAATCGAATGAGTACGAAACAATTATTTGCTGAACTTGCCGCTCCTTCACGGTCTCCTACACTCACGGCCGCGATGGAGGCGTATGAGAAGTATAATGATTATATACTTTATATTCCCTATCACACGGTGATTGAATATATGTATTTACTGCAGTTACTCACAGTGACGTTAAGTCGTCAAGTGGAGTGTTTGCAGTCGGTACCAATGATGTTAATTGCGGCAGCGGCGGTTTCGGATTATTTTATTCCACTTGAACGTATGTCAAAGAATAAAATAAGTGGTGGAAATGGTCTCACACTCCAGTTGGATAATGTACCAAAGGTGCTTGCTACTATTAGTGAAGAATGGCATGGATCGGCTGTAGATATTCCACGGTATTTAATTACGTTTAAATTAGAAACAGAGGAAACCGCTATGAAAACAAAGGCTGTACACAATTTAAATCAATATGATTGCGATGTGGTAGTGGCCAATATGCTGCAGAACTACAGAGAAAAGGTTTTGGTTTATTGGGGAGGACGACACCGGGAAAAAGAGCCCATGCCACTCGTGAAACCACAAAACTCTACTATGGAAACATTGCTAACAAATGTATTTCTTCAACAGATTGAAATAGATATGCATGAGATGGCAGAAAAGAAACAGGAGAAAGATTGCTGATTTTTTATCTTCTTTTTTTTGTTTTCTGCCGTTTATATATATATATATATATATATATATATATATATATGCATATCTGTGATGATAGTTGAAAATATACGTTGGCGAACAACAAGAGAAAGATAAAGGAAATACAATGTAAATGGATAAGAAAGGGTGTTTGGATTCCTTGATGTTACTTTCTCTCGTTAATACTTGATTTGTGGCAGCACGATTGTCACAAGAAAGGTGGTAAACGTACAGCAATATGGATTTTTTTTTTTTTTTTAACTGATGTTCTCATTCATTCATTTATTCATTTT